CGTAGCTCAGGGTTGTCTGTGTGGGCCATGGACCACCCTAGAATTTTCGGAAATGATATTGTGTAGATATTTAGGTAGTAAGTTACTATGTAAATTTCAGTGTTTATTGCTCGAATTTTATAGTTTTTGTAAGACTTTTATGTTTGTATTATGTTTCAGTAAATTGTATACGTTTATATTGCTAATAAAAATATATATTATATTGCACCACCCTAGTTAAACTCTTTGATGAGAAGCTGATCGAGGATTCAATTGAAGATAAAAGGTGATTCAGAGTCAAGCAGCGCAAAGGACTCAAGACTGAAGGCAAAGGATCTTTGCATGACTTGGTTGATCTAGACCTTTAAATCATCATAAAATCCAACGTTACATATTCTTTTATCGATTAATCTTAATAAATTTTAGTCCCTCTCAATGAAAATGAGGCTCCTTTTAAAATTATTGTATCGGTACATTAGACTTTTATATATTGATTGTTAGAGTTGGAAAAACTAGACTTAAACAAACCTAGATGGATTAGCAACAAATGTTTAACACCTAGTAGCAATATGATATTAGAAGATTTGTCCTAAGAAAATATTTCCAAATCACTATAGTTTGGAATCAATAACCCTTAGTAATAGTAATAATTTAGAAAAATATTGGTCAAAGACTAATTACATCTAATTTGTTGACTCGAGTGTAAGATATCTCGATACAGTAAAAAAAACAGCTAAAATCTAGCTTACTATTGTCAATCCTTAACACGACGTATGTGTCTCTTCTCAAGATTAGCAAGAACAACAAACACAGCTTCACTAGAAAATGTCTACATGGTACAGCCGTACAGAACAGATGCCGACTATAGTTGAAATCAGAATCCATGGTTCATGGCAACGGAACAGGCGTCCTCCAGCTGTGGAACTCAATCAGATCTCTATTCACAATCGATCTGTTGTGCAGCCAGAACGTTTCGGGTGATTGATGGAACCGCCGCACTTTCTTCTGCAGCTCTGTCAGGATACCGGTCATGGCAGAGCACGGCTCAGCATCAGCTGCATACACCCACAAGCATCTCATCTGACGCCCATGACCAATCATTTCCTCGATCCTTTCATCTGCAACACCAACAGACGTCAGCTTCCCTTTGATCCGGTGCAGCCTTAACATATATTTACAACTAGAATTGAGAACTACTTCATTCCAAATTATAAGTTTGTTTTGATACATACTCTTCGGTCCAGTTTATAATGCACAGCTTGATATGGCATGATCTCCTAGGATATACTTCAAGCATTCATTTATTTTATATTATACATTTACGACTATAAACTTATGATTATTGGATAATACATTTGATTACAAATATAACCATGTTAAGTCTATATTACAATCGTAAAAAAATTGTAGGCCCAATTATTGGTTAAAGATCGTAAAGTTTGAACCTTGATATGCGTGTACGCCTTATATTTATGACTATAAACTTATGATTATTGGAGGGAGTAGTTTTTACTATGTATCTAGACATATTTTATATCTAAGTAAGACTCTACCGCTTGCACCAGGCCCGCCCTTCACATATTTTATATCTAAGTACATAATAAAAACTATATAACTAGAAAAGCTAAAATAACTTAGAGGTTGGACGAGTATAATGCAATACCTGATATTGATTCAAGGTACTCAAGGAGTTCAGGTCCAATCCTGGACGATGGCCACTTTATCGAGATTTCACTGTAGTCGATCACATTCTGGAAAGGAAGCTCAACTTCATCTGACAAAATCACCGGCACACATTCCTATCATCAAGATTCTCACAAGTTGATCATCACCATGCTACAAAAAAAGCATCTCTTAGCAGGAGGAGAAATAGGATAGCTAACCACAAAGAAGGATTCATAGAACCGAAGTGTCCAAGATGACTCTCCACGTGGAGCCAAGCAGAACTTTGCATTTCTCAGGTGCTTGAAGTATTCGATCCTTCCCAATTTGTTGGGGCCAGATAATTTGAGTTCTGGAGATTCCAGCTACAAAACCAAAGTTACATTACATGCGATCAGAGTTTTAAACAAAAAGGATGTGTTCAGAGCACTGTCCAACAGGGGCAGCCTAGAAAAATGAATATGGTGCAATCATGATTTATTTGAGGTAGACAACTAAACAAGGATGTTTAATGCTAACTTCCATGCATTGCAATGTGACTATACCCAGATAATTGAATTAAGGTGCCAGACTTTGAATTATCACTTTTCATCCATTAATATTGAATGAAATCATAAAAAAGTTTACAATAATCTCATTTACTCCCTCCATTCCAAATTATTAGACATTTTGGCTTTTCTAGATACATACCTTTTACTATGTACTTAGATATACACTATGTCTACATAGTTAAAGCAATGTATCTAGAAAAGCCAAAAAGTCTTCTAATTTGGAAATGAGGGAGTAATTTTTATTTTAATACATTTTTAAACTTATTCTGTAAATGAAATGGAAGCTAACCTTGTCAGGATACTGCTTTGCAAGCTCCACCAGTTGAAGGCGCCCTGCTTTCCCCTGGGCACGTCCAAGGAAGTTGGCTAAGTATTTCCTTTTTGTTAGCGGGATTGGTTGGACAGCACGAGCATCAGACTTCACCATAGAATCATCCACGTTCCCAGGTATAACAATATCTTTCCATGTATTAAATGCACTCGTACCACGCTTGTCAGTCCGGTCACCCTGACAAATGAAACACAGGGCCATAGATAGACTCTCAAATAGACAACAATAAAACAGCGCTAGAGCCACATCCTAAGATTTGGATAATTTAAACACTACAACTCCTTTCTTTTGTGGAAAAAGAATGTGGCACATGTTAATAGCATCACAAACAGCACATACCTCTGGAGTAAGGATAATAGATCGATTCAGAAATGTTGCCCATGAGCGAAACAGATGAGCTCCTGCGCCACTACATATGACAGAAAAGGCATAGTTTTCTCAGGTAAATAAAAAGGTCCCCAAACATATATTGCTCTGGCAAAAATGAAGAAAACTGGTTCACCAAATAGTAGTTACAAGATGTACCTTGGGAAGACAAAAATGTGGTCACGCCCACCTGATCTACGGAAATATGGCATCTGACTCAGAACCTAAAGCAAATGAAGGCGAAACAGTAACGAATTTGTTTTCAAACACATATGACAGGAACATCATGTGGGGGGTTACCTTGACATAGGTCTGATTGATTTCCTTGTCACTTAGTGCCCCTGTCATGCGAACACACTTGACATAGCTCGGAACAAAGAAGAGATTTGCTTGATCCTTGTTGAATGTTCTGAACCTTGACTTTAGAAGAAACTGGTGGATCTTGACCTATGAAATGGAAAACCACTGACTTGATGTTTATTGTTTCAGTTTTCTGTAAGAGATACTGGGTGCAGGTACCCAGAATCTAATGAATAGCAGCAAGGATTATACTAGCAATGTCGTTAGTTTGGTAGGAGTAGCTCCTGCTATGCTACTCTGACAAGATGAACAACTGAAAATTTGACCTAAGTTGTGTACTTGTGTGTAATAAAGTAACAAAATTTTGAATCAGGAATTTATCGAATTGCGTGATGCAGAGTACGTTGCTTGAAACACTGATTGAGATGGACGGCCTAGACAACACAAGTATGATTGACGTTGTGCAGGTTCAATAGTATACGCCCTCTGCGTAGAATTAGGTTAGGACCAGGGGGGCAGCAGCTGTACTGTAATCTAGGGAGCGCAATTTGCAACAAATTATTTGTGCGTTGCCTCCTCAGACAAGATCAGTGCCGCTGTTCTGTGACTAAGGGGGAGGGGGATTGAAGAGAAAAGAGGTGGTGGGGTCCAAGGTTTACCTGGGTGCCCCATTGGCCCTTGAGGCATGTGGCGGCGGTGATGGTGCCATCGCGTCCCCGGAGCAGGGCGCGGAGGCCCTGGATCTCGTCCTCAGCGTAGACGTAGATGCGGAGGTCAGCGGAAGAGGAGGGCCGGCCGGGGGTTATGGGGGCGGAGGAAGATGTGTCGAGGAGGAGGCGGTCGAAGAGGCGGGTGAGGAGGAAGGTGGCAGCGACGAGGAGCAGAGCGCCCACCTGGTGAGCGCGGCTGCAGGCTTGGTGGTGCCGCATGCTCCGATAGCTCGCCGGAGCCAGAGATGGGGTAAGAGGTGAGGGGATCTGATTCCGAATTTCCGATCATGAGCCCGGCGCGCCGACGATCAGCAGCAACCCAGCAGCTTAGCTTGGGTGAGCGGAACCTGCTGCAATCTCTCCAGTTGGGCCGGGATATGCTCCCTTTTAGATTTCATCATTCTTTGACTGGGCCTCACCCCAAAAAAAAAAATGAAAGTCTATATGATCTCACTCAACCATCGCAAAAATCCAATTTGCCTCACTCAGAAAATTGGATTTTTTTAGACCCCTTTAACTTTTGAAACACTCAATTTACCTCCTTTTGATTGAGAGGCTATCATAGACGACACCTTTTTCATGGCTTTTGCATTGAAAAAAGTGCTCAAAATATATGACAAAACCTGAGAGACATACGACACTTGTAGGTTGGATGGAAAAGTAAGCTATTACTTAACCTATTATGTTGTGGATATTTCGTGGTTGGACAGCTTTTGTGCCGCGGTTAATCTGTCCAATATGTGTCTAGTTGTGAATTGTCCATCTATTTGTGCGGATTATCGACGGATTGACACTACACTACTACTACTGATGCAGATTACCCAAGGGGTTATCAAGTTACAGATCATCCACAAATTGACTGAGCCTTCCACATGTTTAGAAACCGTAGATCGAGCAATTTGCCTACGCAGTGCAGGTCTTGCAATATTTTCAGAATTTCCCATAGTATCTCAAAAGACACGGGGGGGTTCTCATTTCTATGGTCATTAGTGACATTACGTCGGTGCCTTATATATTACATAAATATATCACAGCATATTGCCAAGGACTAGACGGGTTACATATAGCACAAGCTAAAACTAAGCCTCACACCAGCCAAATCTAATCTGTAGAAGTTGCTCCTGAGAAGCTGCTTTGTTTCTCTAAGGCCAAAACCTTCCGTCGCTTGTAATGCCTTTCTGTTTTTGCATCACCGGGGATAACTCTTTCATTCTCTTCCAAGGTCCTATCAGACGCAGGCCTTTTACCATCAAAAGATGTGTTCTCAGACATGCCATTCTTTGGCGTGGAAGGTCTATCTACAAGTTCGAAGGTGCCATCAAGCAGAGGCAATTCAGCATCAGAAGATGTGTTCTTGGAAACTGTTTCATTCTTCGTGCTACAGGGTAAATCTAGTGATAGAATCACACCATCAGTGCAGGTTGTGTCATCTTCACAAGGAAGAACACTGTCAGTTGCTAAATATTTGTCAGCACCCTGACCATCAGCATTTAAATCGCTCTTATTTCCGCAATCACCTGCTATTGTTTGGTCAGTGTTTCCCTCGCTCTCGTCACGGAAAACTGTACTACCACCAGTAATACTATTATCAGTATTTCCATCTTTCAACTCAGAGCTATCCTTGGCATTTATATCACTTTCATGTGCACAGTCACCTGCCACTACTTTGTCAATATTTTCCTCTTTTAAGTCTGAGGAAGCTGTGCTAACACCAGTAATACCACTGTCCGTATTTCCTATTTTCAACTCAGAGCTACCATTGGCATTTATATCACTTTCATGTGCAGAGGCACCTGCCACTACTTTCTCAATATTTCCTTCTTTTAAGTCTGAGGAAGCTGGGATAACACCAGTCATACCATTGTCCGCATTTCCCTCTGGCAACTGCAATGAAACATACAGCTCACCATGATTGACATTGCCTGCAGTTGGGTTAATACTCTTCACATCTTCAATGATTGCATTGTCTACAACATTTTTGCCAATATCACCTAGTGTGACTGAATCCAGATCATCATGAGGATCGACACAATCACCTTCAGCTGTCATTCTTTCTGGATTTGGTCCATTGTCATCTTTGCTGGAGTCAAACATCATAACATAATCCATATCTTGAGAAGGTATAAAGCACTCATCCCCAACTTCTATGCTTTTTTTAAAGGACTGTTCTTTGCTGGTAATTTTCTGAGCAAAAATTTCAGAGATTGAGCAGCTTGTAGAAACCATAATATCCTGCACCTCAGCTTCTGCTTGGCTGTGAACTTTTTGGTCATTGTCCAGAGAAAGAAACAAAGACTTCTCATTTTCCTTATCTGTTACCACATGATTTGATTCCTTAAGCACTTCATCATCTTCTGGGGAATATGATCTCATATTAAGTTGACTGCTAGATACAAGTGGCTCATTTTTCCCATCCTGGCTTGACAGGCAAACAATAGTATCCTTGACTGGAGCACACACCTGCTACCAAACAATATAACACATCATGGTATCAGTAATCAAGCTCAAGCAAAGTAAAATAGGAGTTTAAACTTATCAGCTAATAACTATACCTCTGACTCTTGTAGATTCTGTACATCGACAATTAGAACACTTCCAGTGTCCAACATGCATCCAGAAGTAGGTAGCCCCTTTTCTTTGGAGTCATTTAAACAGATGGACTTGGATGACTGAATTTCATGAGTCCCGTCATCAACTGTGCAAACTGTTTCAGGTTCACCAGCAGAGCACCTCTGAGCACGAAACTCTCTAGTTGGTTCCGGTTCAGCATTTGAGCATCTTTGATATCTTTCATCAAGCTGCTCACCACCACAAGCTAGCATGGGATGATTCTGAAAAGATCCAGTCACCAGCTCAAGAATTAACTTTCGGACCACCGAACGCTTGAGAGAAGCTTCAGGGGGTGGAAACCAATCATCACTAAGCTGAAAAGTACATTAAGAGTGAAAGTTCAAGAAATTAATACACCTATTAAAATCCAAACTCAAAATATTTCAGAGAATGACTTTGCTCTTCAAGGATATTGTGATGACTCAATTTGAAGAAAACCAGAATTAAATGTCCAAAGCACAAACAAAATAGTGAAAGAAAAAGAAAGCCGTAGTCAAACAAAACTGATGCCAAGGAAAAGTTTTATTAACAAAAGCTATAAAAGAATGTAAAGGTGGAACAAGGAACAAGTGAAGGTGACCTTTTTATACATAAATGTTCAGACATTATCTATCATTGTAATTTAACTACGAATTTGAATATCAAACACTCGTAATTCTGTGAGACTGTAAATACTCATATTGTTTAACTTGTGTAATTCACCAACTGTACTTAGGTTAGAGCGGTGCAATTTTCACTGACTTAATTGATAATTGTACTAGAATATTTCCAACATATGAAGGCACATCAGGATTATAGTTCAAAATAATAATAAAAAATGCAAATTAAGTAAACATCCACTATCGAAAATTCTTAGCACCCATAGATTATACAACAATAATAAAGAAACAGTTAGCACAGTCTGACAGAGTTCATAACGGCGACAACATTGAGCTTGAAGACCAAGCAAACTACTTGCTTCAGAATGGCAGAGAAACAATAGGATGCCATTAAACAACAAAGAAAACAAATTAAGACTTTGGAACTCACAAAGCCAGATAATACATCAATCTTCAGAGGGTTGAAGTTACTTGGAGCATCTGTCAAAAATAGTTCCACATAATGGAGCAAGAACAAGCCACAATCATATGAATTATCCTGCTGAGGGAGCTGCACCGCAAATAGAACATAATTGGATTACAATCCAAAATTAAAACACCAAAGTTATAGAAAAGGTCAAATTCTAAGTGTTGGTTAGCATACATGTAAAAAGCTGTGATCGCATGTGATTGTGACAGCCCAATAGCATATGCAATTATGTCTTCATTCAAGCTATTCACATTAGCAAGCCAAATCATCCACTAACATACATTTAGTTGTCAACATCAGCGTGCTACACCATCCACTAACATGCATTATGATATTTATCTATTCATGTAAGTAAATATAAGTAGTATAATTTCATTTCAAATCATCTGCAATTCCTGCAGCAATGCGTGGAGTATCCTTCTAGTTCTTTAAATGCATATACCATGCTCACTATAAACCACCACACAAAAATTTGGCAGTACACATTCATGGGAGAAAAACAGTGTTAACTGTGGCCAGGATTTTTTTCTCCATAAAAATGTGATAAACCAAATAAACCCAACACTTTGTACATATAAGCAGAAGTGTGCCATGAAACAAGTCCAGACATAAATTCATGTGGGGAAGGATAAGCCAAGATCAGCGAATATACAATGTGCATGATCAAAGGAATTCAGTCAAGCAGTCTATTGACTGCAATTTCAGTTGAAACAGAGAGCACAAATCTGAACAACTTAATCTAATGCAAATTAGACAATTAGCAGATGCTCTTTATGCCAACAATTGGCATATTTTGTACCCAAAGATTGATAGTCTTTGATTACCCAAAAATTGCTAGATACATGGAAAGAATATGAATTAGGATGCAAGCGTGAACAAAAATCATGTCCAAATTAGGGGAATTGACCTACATATACATGTAAAATATGGTCAAATGTGACCATTATACGACAGATCTGACCATACAGGCCATAGAGGGGTTTGTTACAAATACCCTGAAAAATCAATCATCCACGACACGAAGTAATAACACAAATCTATCTCCACCACTATTTGTATTTATAGATTAAAGATTCAAAGTTCCTGCACTCTTCAAACAACAAATGAAAATCTGAAGCCACAGAAGTGAATGCGGGTACTTTTAAGAATTTCACCTAGGGATTTAGAACAGGTACTGAAACTTATTATGTACGAACCTCAAGGGAGACAAATCTCAAGTTCAAGAACTTGTCTGAATGATCTGATGCTGATTCAGGGTGCCTTTCCTTCCACTCTTCCCATAAATAACTGTGGCAGAGAGAATCAAACTTCACATAGGATCCACCAGATATTGATCACAGAGTGTGGATTGACAAAAGAAACAGAAGTTATGGGCCAAAGAACCATCAGTCTCAGTTAGTGCCCTGATCAAAATAGATGTTGCATAGAACTGACTGTTAGGTAAGCCACAGTCACTGCTAAATCTAACCCAGGCAATCTATGACCCAGAAAAATCTTCATACCGAAGTTCAGGTAGTAGGACTGCTGTCCCCCCCCCCCAGGTCCTTTACATCTTTTGTAAAGACCCTTCTTGTCAAAAGTTCACAACATTTTAAAATCAGAAAAAATGAAAGGAAATAGTTTGTGTGTGTTTTCAAATATCATCTAGATCCCTCAATCGTAAATACAATTATGCACAGGTCAAACAAAAGTAGCAAATCTACCATGCCTCTGGAAATAGAATTACCTTTGAATGATATCCTTGAGTCCAGTGTGACTTCCTTTAAGTGAATCCATGTGTAAAATGCATGGGAGTTTAGCTGAGACCTTTGCATCACCATCTGAAGCAAAACCACATTTTTAAAGAAAAAAAAAACTACTAAAAACATGTCAAAGATGCCATTTTCAATTTATATACATGCCTTCAAATGTCGCCACTTCACCAGGATAGCAAATGACAATTAAACTCCAATGCAAGCTGCAACAACGGCACATAATAACAGTTTACATTGATTATCATCACATAAGCATAATTTTTGTTGTCAGAAGGTTCTTACTTGAAGTTGACAGGAATGAACAGAAAATCTTTGTCAAATACATTTATTTTGCGGGTCCATTTGCGAACACGTAAGAAGGCTGCTCTACCTTCCGGAGCTCTCCCCTGATCTTTGTCAAGATCTGCCAGCTTGCGAAAAAAGAAGCTATTAAAGAAATGGTACCTGCGCTTCACGGTAGATTCAATTCTTGTGCTCAAGTATCTGCAGAACATAAATTAAGGACTCATTTAATGCGAGTAAAAACACTCTGCAGAACAACTTAAATGTTAAAACAAATAATAAAGAATGGTGACCATGTTTCTCTTACTACTAATTAAGAAAGATAGACCTCATATATCATCAGAAACAATTTCCTTTTATAATTCATGCTATTTAAATTCTCATCTTAATAACTTGGAAACATCTTTGTTTCCTTCCAAGAACACATCCAGCGAAAGGGCCTCTAGCTGAGTTCGTTAGGTGGCTTGAGTAGCACTCCTGAGGTCTTGAGTTTGACTCCCGTGGGAGCGAATTTTCAGGCTTCCCCTTCTCACGGCAAAGCACAGATTGTTCATGGGGTTAAAAAAAAATCCCTCATCTGTCTAGTTTTGTTTGTTCAAGCAGTCAGTGTTCTCTCCAGTTGTTTGTTCAAGATTTTTTTTTTTTTTTTGGGGGGTTCCTTTCCTATCATGACTTCTGGGGAGCAGTGACTTTTCAGCGCACATAAAGAGCAACTTTTTATACAAACATAACATGTAATTTCATATCATGTTTGGGGCATGAGAATTTTTACAGTAATCTTATAAATCTGCATTAGGCAGCCAGGCATTAAAATAGTCGAGAAACAGAGCATATCCAAATGCAAGGAAAAGTAGTAAACATGGTTTAATGCACACTGTTCTCAATACATGTGTCATTTTTAATCTTCAATTCTTCATACACCTCAACAAGTGGAATATTTAACTTGTCATCAAGAATCTAATTTAAAGTCTTCGGTCCTTTGCTTAGATTAAAGTAAGAAAAAAAGTTGAAAGATTCAAAAGTTCCTACTTTCTGGTATCAAACCATAATGCAGCAACCAGCTGCATAATGAGTGACAAATTTCAACACAAACACACACAAAAATAACAATTTCCACCACAATCAACTTAAGGCAGCAAAAATATATGTGCTTGGAAAAAAATAGGAAACAAGATGTACAAATATTACTAGCAGTACAAAAATGTAATAGGATATTGAACAACTAAAACTATAACGACAAGATGCTGTCCAACAAAAGGTTCAACCTACTTGATATAAAAGTCAATTATTGTATCATTGACAAAGGTTTCAGGAAGTAGAAGCTCAACATCTCTTTTGCTAATGGAAACAGCATCAGGATCTCCTTGGGGATAAATAACATCTTCAAAGTCCTCAGTGCTGAACCAATGAAAACAAATAACAGGAAAAAAATAAGTATAACAAGTTCAAATTGCCAAACATGCAAAAATAACTTTAGCCTCTGAGTACATAGATGCTTCAGGTTAATAATAGCACAGGCAGAACAGAAAATATACATATTTGCCTTACTGGAAATATTGCCTCAAATAGAGTTCGAGTATAGTAAAGAATATCCTTTGTCAGGATGTGAAACACAAACTAAAATGGAGATACAATGCTGTGAAATTTACCATGGCATAAACATTGTCAATATGACCACTGACATGAATGTTGTGAAGCCTTAATTTTTTTAGGTATCAAGACTTCTCACAAAAAAAGGGAAAAATAACAGGCAAGACAGAGAACAAATTGTGCAAATGTCATATAATCACCTGGAAAAGTATTGCCTGGGGAAGAACAGACAGGGTTCGATGCTCCAATTCTCCAATGCAAAATCATCTCTGAAAAATGTGTGCAATTAAACAATACAATTGTTAAAGTAGTCACAATAAAACAGCCAAAATTGAAATTGATCTTTAAAAAGGTGCAAACTTCACATTAAGAGTGTAAATAAGTAAACAAAAAAAATATCAAGCTGCTGACTACAATAATATTTACCCTGCCATGGTCTATGGCTCTATGCCCATGCTTGAGACTTGACATCCATATCCAAACAAAAGCCCAATAGACTAGCATATTGTCCAAAAAATAACTAAAAGTTACTAGAGTTTGCAATTTGCAGCATGCATCATCTGGTAAATCAGCGAATAAAGAACTCAATTTATTGCTTTACTTTCTGCTATGTGTTTGCTTGTCTAGACTTGGGGCCTGTTTGGAACCACTAGTGTTAAGCTAGCTCATAGGCTCATAGCTGCTAACTATCAGCTAGCTAATTATTAGCAGGGGGCTGGGCTATTTGGATACACCAGCTAATAGGTGGCTGGATAGCTGGTTGGAGGTGTGTATGAACTATTAGCACCTCTCCACCAACAACTAAAAAAGGGCGTACCCAGTGCAGAGAGCTCCCGCTCTGTGCGGGGTCTGGGGAAGGGTGTTAGTGGCAAGCCTTACCCTCGCCTGTGCAATGCGAGGAGACCGCGATTCGAACCCGGGACCTTCCGGTCACAGGCGGTAAGACTCTACCGCTTGCACCAGGCCCGCCCTTCACCTCTCCACCAACAACTAATGAACTAAATTAATTGTTAGCGTCTCTCCACCAACTAGGCCAGTTTGGATCCTCACCTATTCATTTAGCTGCTAACTGCTAGCACTAATGGATCCAAACAAGCCCTTATAAATTAACAGTCAATTCTAATAGACACTGCATATCCATGATTCATCATATTTCTCCACATCTGATAATTAATATTTGCCAAATCTGAGCAATATCAAACTTAACAAAGTTTATTATAAATTTTGGATAGTGAATTGATAATTTGATATAACTACTGTTTGTTCTCTACCTAATATGTTAGCACAAAAAACAAAACCATCTGCTCTAATTATTAAGGATAGCATGGTCAGTTAAGCACTCAGCAAGTACAAACGTTATCCCACAACTTACGATGGGATGTCTTTCCATATTTCTTGATATCTTGGTCCCAGTTCCCAAATCTTCTGTTGTCTCCTTGGCCATTGTAAGTCATCAAGAGAAAATTGTGCTCTAACAGGACCTGTCGAATATAAGAAGAAAATCAAGCTAGTTGGTAAGAAGCAAGGAGTATCTCAATCTCAACAATATATATATAAAAGCTGCTTATTACTTATCCATTAGAGTTACTGTCGTTTTTAATGAACTAAGTAAACATCTTAGATTAGATGTATGCAACAAAACAAGATCTCATGTTGAGACCACACCACAAATGGAAAGAGCAAGCATAACTCAAGGAAAATGGCATATTTGACAGTCATTGGACCCTCAATTTGAGATTTTCCATTAAAAATGTCTAAGTTCCAGCTTTTCACAAGAAAGCACAAGAGTTTTCTCAATCTACAAGAATAGAAGGCAAAATTATGCTATGTAATATGTAAATAATTGTAATGCCCCCTTTACCCCCTCCCCTTTTTGCATCGCACATGGGTAGGCAGTGAACAAAAGCATGGATTGCCTGAGTAGTTGGAACTCGAAGCGATGCTATCCAGGACACCCAAAGTTGGTGCACCCGAATCTGGAGATAATTAAGTTCAATCCCCGAATCATGGTTATTAAGTTAGTAAATGGAGGGGAGGCAATCTACCACCTTCATACCACAGAAGTGCTCAACACTTGACAAATGGATGGCATAAAAACAGAACCTAGAGGTGATTAGATAGAAATGGCAAACACAGAGGGATGGAAAAAGGGCAAAAGATAAAAGAACCACCTCCCCGGCTACCCCTATTTCCCTATCCCACAGTAGCCAACAAGCCCAGAAACATCTCACACATACATGTAAAAAAACGTCAAGAGAGTAGCTCTGAATCTTTGCCCCACCTTTTCCACCTCCACTCTTCTTGCCGTCACCTGTCCTACCATGCCTATCCCTCAGCCCCAGGGGCGGATATGGGCCTAGGGCGTGTCCCAAAAAGTGCACTTACCCTGTCGAAAATTTATGGCCCAATCCATTGAATCTCACGGCCCAGCAAGACAGCAGCCTGCTCATTCTCTATGTCCGCGCAGACGGCGCTCGTAGGTAGGCAGCTGGCCCTTGGCCGTTCTCCGCAATACGATACCCTAGCGCAGTAGCACCGGCGGCATGGCAAAATCCAGTGGCGACGTGGCCATATTGGGTGGGGCCATGGCCAAATTCTGCCTTCAAAATCACCTCAAACTTATGGTACTTAGTACTTGATAATATTTCAAGCTAGCTAATAAACATGTGAAAATTAAAAATAAAATCTAACTCGATGAACATGGAAACGGATGTTACTTTGCCACTCAGTATTAGCCTCAGTTTACATTTTTCCTGAACAAAACACACGCAACAGTGCAACACAAAATGAAAACGAAAATGAAAACAACAAAACACCCTTAGCCACCTTATTATAAGCTTAAAATAAACAAACTATTGTGCAAGCCAAACTGTTGTCATATTTTACAACATCATACTACTTTCGGGTCACCGAGAATGTGTCAGGGGACCACATAGAATTTTCTATCGAAGACAGAAAACTAATGTTGACCTCTGCTAGTGGCAGGAATATTGTTACACTTCCATCAAACATGAAAACTAGACCTCTCTCAATTTTCCATGTGCCGCCCTCGCGGCAGATTCCACTAATGCATGTGTACAGCCCAGGGGCAAAGTTATTTAGACCAGACTGAACAACGAACCGATCAAAGTCTCAGTTAACGGTTTGATTAGTTCAACCATCAACCTCCTAAGGGAAGGGTCAAGGGTTCGAAAGCCCATGATGTTGCCTTTTCATCAATGTTTTTCACATTTATTATTATTTTGTTATAATTATGTTTATGTTCCCCTTGTACTCCTGGTTTCGTCCAAAACACCGGCCACCGCTCCCCCTTCACAGGGTTCAAAGAAAACTTAGAGAAAAAAAAAACAAGCATGTGAACAGAAAAAAAAAACGACAGGAAAAAGAGGGGAAAATCGGGGAAAAGGCAAAAAAAAGAAAACAACTGACAAAGAAAAAAATGTGACCCCAATAAAAAGACAGATGAGCGAAAAAATGATCGTGACCAAATACGAAAAAAACGACGGACAAAGATTCATGTTGCCGCTTTAGTATTAATAACAGATATATGTCATCAGCATTGAAATATGGAAGAAAGCAGATAAATCTGGAATACAATATCTTGAACACATATGATACCTGCATTTCCTGTTTCTGCTTCGGATCCAACAAGGAGTGTTATTAAGGCAGATCCAACCTGGTTAGGATGATAAATTGGTAAAGAAAACTATGAAAGACACAAAATAATAGGGATAGGAACAGTAAAATAAAGTGAATTGCTTACACTCTGAGCCCATTTACAACTGATGGAAATAATATTAGATAAATCCCATTGTAGAGGTACCAACTTCTCATCTTCCAAGGAATCTAAATCCAAATACTCAATCTTGATCCCGTCCAATGAGAAAGTAAGGTGAGGTTCAAGACACAAAGTTTTGTCACATATCATGAAGGCAGGACTAAGTACAACCGGTCCTGCTTTGTCAACCTAAAAAGAGGCCCCAGAAGAAAATTACAAGTGCCGGTGGCTTTAAGCAACATAGTGGTCCAAAATCTAGCAGACCAAGGTGGCATAAAATATATTAAGCATCTAAAATTGCAGCAATCTAAGAAAAAGATCAAACATATAAATGAACAGTTTAGAGTAACCTTGAAGGGGAAGCGACGAAATTCTATCGTGGCAGGGTACTGAAATTTTAAAAAGCATACTAGAAGATTTTAGGCGGCCTTAACATGTTGCCTATACAAATTTGTATATTACATAACTCAGTGCAGAAGAAGAAGAGAGACATCAGGATGTAGGTCAACTCACACTTATCTAGTCTAAAGAAAAGGCTCATAAATCATGCTTGTATACCAAGGTCAGTAATTGCACGCATCAAAATCCTGATGATTAATTTTAACATATGGCCCCACAGCTTATGAATTGCTTCCAATGCAATTACTCAAGCTTTCCTCAGAAAATAAACTGAAAAGGTTTGACATGTTCACCTAAAAAGATCCTTTTTGTAGCTAACCACTTATCAGGAAAGAGAGAGAAGATGTCAAGATGCGAGCACAAACAAACAGAAGCGGCGTTGTATTGGGCATCTAATATTTTTTATCCAAAATGTTTACCGTACAATCACAAATTATAATTTAAGGAGACATACCAGCGCATCATAGGAATTATAGATATGCTGCAAATTTTGCTCCATATAACCTGGAATTGCACAATGATTACCAGAATTGAACACAGTTCAAGCAGAGGCCACTACAAAAGTCGAGCATATTACCAGGCACATCATAATTACTGGTAGATGAAGTGTCAGGGCTGGATGGCATGCTTTCTTCCTCAGAATCAGCTACCATTCCCTGGTAGAAGACAAACAACTAACAGTTAACAAAAAAAATGCAGTGAACAGAAAGGGATACTTAATTGTATGAATAAATAAATATATACTTCTGACGGAAGCTCAAAGGTATGTGCACTGCCAAATCTCATTTCTTCCACAGGCTGATTTGCAGACATGTGATATTCATCTACGCAAGCATTGGTATTGATACGATCAGTATAGATTGCCGAAGTCGCCATTACTAAGCTCACGGTTCCAAAAAGCGGCACTAAGCGCACGCTTCAGCACGCTGAAGCGCTAAGCGGACAGGTAACGCTTCCTATTAAGTATCCCTGACGCCGCCACGAGCCTGGGACTGCCCCGCCGTCGCTACCGACGAATCTCCGCAAAACGCACCGAGAGAGAGCTGCGAGAGATGGAGGAGCTGAAAAAAGTAGATCTCACTGGCTCCTTCTCCCTTCTCACGCGGGATGGACGCCGCTGCGCCTGGATCCACGCGCTGCGGCTCCTCCTCCCTCCTCACGCGCGTAGCCGGCGACGGAGAAGAAGCCCCGCGGCCAGGAACGACGGAGGGAGGCGGGGCTGCGATGAGAGGCGAGACGGCGCGGGAGGCAGGGCGGGAGGGGCGGAGCGGATGAGGCGGATGCGCGCCGTCGCTCGGCGGCGCGACGGGAGGTGTGGGGCGGTGGTGCTAGTCCGAGCAGAGGAGAAAAATTGTTATTACAGTACGCGAAAGAATGGGCTACTTCGCTAAAACGACATTTAAAACGTTGGTGTTTTGTTTTACATAATATTTGATTATTTTAATCACTTTTCTAATTTTAAATACACGTATTTTGCCATGGTCATATTCACGTAAGAGTGGACAGGCAGGCGCGTGGGCTGGCTGGCTGGCTGGCTTGCCGCCGCCGCGAGAGGTATGTCACACATTATTAAAATTCACAAAAATATAGTAAAAATTTCTAGAAAATTAGAGTAAAATGTTGTCCCTATCGTAGATTCCTACAAGATCGCTGCACTGCTTACCCTTTCTTGCCATGAAACCGAACGATTTTAGTGTTGCGATCGAGCGAGGAACAGAACAGAACCGAAGCTTTCCCAATCCCACGCGAGCTTAAACAATCATCAAGGAAAAAGAAAAAAGGGGTGAACACACGAGAACCTAGAGACGGCGGTGAGTAAAGAGGAGGAGGAGGCTCACGAGGTTCCCGGCGCCGACAGTGCAGAAGCCGTTGCAGAGGTCGACAAGGACGAGCCCCACGCCGCGCGTCGAGAGATTTGAGCTCCCCGTCGGTCTCGAGCGGGATCTGCGACCGGAGCGGGTCCACGGCTATGGCGTCGGCCTCCGTCCCCATTCTCCTCGAGCCGGCGACTGGCTCGAACGCTCGATAGGCTCTAGTTGACCTCTCAATGGCACGGCGAGGTCAGTGTGAGGAAGGCCAAAGGCAGCAACCGAGGAGGAGGGCTAAATAATTTTTCGCGTCCACACGTCTCACACTAACGGTCTTGGACGGGCGCGGGCGGAGGATGAATCACGTATTTTTACTCTAATTTTCTGGGAATTTTTACTGTATTTTTGTGAATTTTAATAATGTGTGACATACCATTAAAAGGATCAAATGTCATATAAAATAAAGTGCCAATGTTTCAAATGTTGTTTTAGCGAAGTCGACGATTAAAGCCCTATAATAGCGAAGCCCATTATTTCGCGTCCTATAATAGCAATTTTCTCGAGCAGGAGCGGTGGGGCGGCGGAGAAGAAATAAGAGTTGGTGATGCGCCACGGGATCCCCGGTCTCCCCCTAGCCCCAGCGTTGGGCTAACGACTACGACTGTCCCAAACAGCCCGAACCCAAATACAAGACGTATTCGTTGGTTTAGGTCGCGTGACAGCGAAAAGGTCGCGTACCCAAAACTTCACGTTTCCAACAACGGACGCAAAAGTCCAGAGGGTCGCCGTCGCTGGATCTCGCCGTGGGAGGGGAGGGTGCCCGTCGTCGCTGGATCTCACCATGGGAGGGGGAGGGAGCCCGCCGTTGCCGGATCTCATCGTGGGAGAGGGGAGGGAGCCTGCCGCCACCGGATCTCGCCGTAGGAGAGGGGAGGGAGCCACACCCACGGATCTCAGACCGGGAGAGGGAAGGAGCTCATGCCGCCGGATCTCACCGTGGGAGGCCACGAGGAGGAAGGAGGGAGGAGGAGGGACCGCCGGCTGCTCAGTCAGAGGGAGGAGGAGGGGCCGCGCCTCGCCGTGGGAGGGGGAGGGAGCCCGCCGCTGCAGGATCTCGCCGTGGGAGGGGGGAGGAAGCCCGCCGCCACCGGATCTCGCCGTAGGAGAGGGGAGGGAGCCCGCCGCAGCCGGATCTCGCGCTGGGAGAGGGGAGGGAGCTCGCCGCCGCCGGATCTCGCCGTGGGAGCACTGCTAGAGGAGGGAGGAGGGAAGAGGAGGGACCGCCGGATGCTGCTGCGGCTGGATGGGAGGGAGCTCGCGTGCTGCTGCTGTGGCTGAGGCAAAGGGACGGAGAGGAAACGCAAAGGGATGGAGAGAGGATGCAAGTTTGCCTACCGTGTTGCCTCCGACGCAGAATGCCTTCCGTGTTTGGGTAGTCTGTTGGAGGGTGGTTTTTTATCGTAAAAGCACTGTGCACTATCCATTTTAGGGATGGGTTCACTGTTTGTCAACACTGTTGGAGACAGTCTAAGGGCATGGACGTAGGGATTAAAGTTTAGAGGACTAAACATGAACCGATAAAAAATAATTTACGATAAGCATAATTAATTTATCATTAGCACATGTTTATTGTAGCACCACATTATCAAATAATGAACTAATTAGGCTTAATAGATTCGTCTCGTAAATTAGTCTCAATCTTAATTAATTCATCATTAGCACATGTTTATTGTATCACCACATTATCAAATAATGAACTAATTAGGCTTAATAGATTCGTCTAGTAAATTAGTCTCAATCTATGCAATTAGTTTTGTAACTAATCTATATTTAATACTTCAAATTAGTATCAAACATCAAATATGACAAAGACTAAACTTTAGTCCATGTAACCAAACAAGGCCTAAGAGCAACTCCAGCAGGAGCACCCAAATCAATACCACTATTTTTGATTTGGGTGCTCCCCTATTTTTGTTGGGATAGTTTTTTCACTTCTACTCTAGCAGTACATAAATTTAAGCCCCCAAATTCATTCAAGTAGACACCAACAAATAGGGCCCGCTTGCCACTCTGTATTCTTCCTTGTCCTCCCTACGGGCCCTCTTGGCCTGTGTCACGCGGAAAGCCATGCTCGTGCGGGGCGGACGGACTGGCAACAGCCGCACTCGCGCTCGCACGGAGGCCACTCGCCTGGCAAACGAGGTCCCTGACGACGGCCGCGCTCGAACGGAGGCAGGCGAGGTCCTTGGGAGGCCCCTCCCCGACTCGGAAGAAGGAGGCCCCTCCCGGCATGGAAGAAGGAGGCCCCTCCCCTGCGTGGAAGAAGGAGATCCGTCAGGCAGGCGATGTCTCCGGCGAGGCCCCTCCACTGGCTCCTCCCTCCCTGACCCGCCGCTCGGACCTGGCCCGAGCTCGCCCTATGCGTGGAAGAAGGAGATCCATTGAGACAGCGACTCGCCGAGGACGGAGGGATCCACGAGCTACCTAAGCTTGTCGCGTGCGGGCATGGAGGGAGCTCCGCCGTGGATGGAGGAGCTCCATTGGGGAAGAAGGAGCTGGCGGCGCGCAGGCGGGGAAGGAGAGAGGGAGTCGCGCCACCATTTGTTGGAGCTCGTTGCCACACCGGGGAGAAGAAAGGGAGCAGCGATGCCGGCGCTGGAGCTCGCTGCCGCAACGGGGAGACGCGAGCGAGAGCTGGACAACCATCCTTCCGTGCGAACACGCGAAGAGAAATGGGCGCAATGGTGGGATGGGGGCTGAAGGCGAGCCAATAAGAATGGGGTCCTTGGGGTAAATATGGATGCCCAGCCAAATATGGGTCTGTTGTAGGGCCCTAATCGAGTGATGTTTGTGGCCTGGACACCCATATTTAGCTATGTAAGTTTAAGTAGGGGTCCTGCTGAAGTTGTTCTAAGGGAAAGAACAAAATAAGTAAAAGAAGAAAAAAGAGAAGAAAAAATGGGGGCATTATAGATATTTTAGCCTTCTTATATACCAGGAGAAGCTGTTTTTACCAAACGTTTTACCAAAACAGCAACGATTCTACTTCTGAAGCTACTTCAGATGAGCCAGAGACAAAGCTGTTTTGGTAGAGCCGGAGCCCTGCCAAATAAGCCCGAAGAAACGGTGGTTGGTTGTGTGCCTTAGCGGGAGCAGCGAAAGGTCAGGTGACGTTTGGATTGTGGGAAAAGGACAGTGGGAATAGAAAATAAGAGGTGGATATCATAACCCTTGTTTATATATCGGGAATGGGATAAGAATCGGGTATGGGATAGGGATAAGATGAGCTCATATCCCACCAAACCATACACAATGGGAGGTGTGGGTTATGGCCGGGAAACAATCGACGGAGAGCCACACCTATGTAACAAACCGGGTTTTTAGAGAAGCCAAAAATACGAACTTTTAAAAATTTCTGCAATGTGTGAAGCATGTAGATGCTAGGTCAAACAAAGAACAATTTATAAATAAATTGTTGCATACATATAGTATTGCTTGTAGGAGCTTGCTAGAGTTCCTTATTTGGTTTAAGGTTTTGTGTTGGAGAGCACAAGTCCATAGCGAATCATTTTGACTCCTTCTGGAATCTCTCATGAACCCCTTGACCTAAATTCTATAATCAACCAACTATCTTTATCAACTCAATACCCTTGAATTGCCAACCCTTGACATGGACCCCACTACCCCTAGTTGACCTCTAGTGGACCCCACTAGAAGGTGTACAAGTTGGCGACACATGTATTCAATATAGGAGCCTTGGTTTATTTAGGAAATAGGAAAGCAATCTGCCCAAGCACCCTCCTCTTGACCTTGACGACCTCGGCCAGCCCAAGATGCTGACCGACCCAACCCCCCCCTGGCCCCAGACGCATCCTTGGCCCAAATGGAGCATAGCAACCGCTCAAGCTCGACCTTGCCCCCCAAACCATGGCCGGCCCACCACGCGCCATCCTCTTCTCCGCGCGCATGGCCCAGCTCCCAATCACAACCGACCGCCCAAAGATGGCCATAAGCTCGATGGCCTATTTAGCGAGCCTCTCACGCGCTTGGTGCCCAAAGATCGCCGCC